AGGTGGAAGAAGAAAAAAGATTTTACCAGGAGGAAGAAGTTAAGTTTCATAGCATGACTAGGCTGTCATCTACTGGTATTATCAAGATTTTTCTATTTTTGGTACTTGTACTCATAAATATAAAGAAGTGTGTGTTAGCATCACCATAGTTCAAACGCTCAATTCTACACTTGAGTTTCCACATGTCCTATTCGTCCTCTTAAGAAACCATTGTATTCATTTAGAAGACTTTTTTCTAGGTTGATTAAGAATTCCATCTAGATACTTTAGTAGTAAAAATCTTGATTGTAGTAGTCATATCATGCTTTCACTTGCCAAGTTTCTTTAATGAAGTTTTTAAAGATTAGGGGATTTAACCACATAGATTCAATCTTATATATATTATGTTTCCTTGGTATTTTACTTGTTTGAGTAACCAGCATGGGGCAATGATAGGAGGAGCTTCTTGATAGATGAGTTATATTAATATAGCTGGCAAGACATCGATTCAATCTTTCAAGGATTAGGTTAGTTCGTGTTTCTTCCTTTTGTCAGTCCAAGTGAACTTACTCCCTCTATACCACAAATATGTCATACTATAATACTAAAAACTCCTTAAAGTTGTTATGTCTGTTACCATTTATAGGTCGGTCCCCAAACTTTCAGCTGCTGAAACAACAAAGCCACTAGAAGTTATAATGCATGGACTCGCTACATACGGATTCAAGAAAAGCAAAATAAGTGATATGAAAATAAGTAACAAGCAGTGAACTAACTAAGCAATACATTATGAGAATTCTGTTATGTAATGGTAATTTCAAATCACAGAGGGGCTGAAAATCTGTCACCTGGTACCAAGGAGATTGATTTCCACTTCTCTAATCAATATATGTATTACATTCTAAAAGGTTCAGTTGAAACAATACTTGTTCTATTAAGCACAATAACACAATATGCGATGTGCTTCTATATTTTTGCACTGCAATTTTGGATTTTTGCATTTTTCAACTGTATTTCTACACAATATTCGGCATAGCTGATACATTTCTGTATTCAAATGTTATCATTTTTTACTTTCTATGGCATATCTACTAAGTGATATTCATTAATATTTCTTTTTGATAGTCTGAACTTCAGAATCGTCAAAGTTTCGGAGAAACAACAAATGATGCATTTAAGGTTGTGTTTGGAAAGAAGCAGCCTGGTCGGGTTAGTTGCTATGGTACAATAAACTCTCTGTAAAAAGATGAGTAAAGCAAGCTTCAACAAAAGCATGCTAGTGAAATAACTTCTTTGAAGGAAGAAATGAAGGAAAGGATAGAGAGTAGAAATACGATATTTATTTGTTCAATTGGTACAAAATAACCCTGGACTAAATATTCATGATATACCAGGGTGTGCCGGATCTAATCTTCTTTCACCTGTTGATGCAAGTCGTGCACGAGGTATGAGAGGCCAAAATCTACCACATTCTTTTGGCTCAACTCATGCTCTGAGTCTTGAAAAGGTATTTATATTTCACTCCCAAAAAATACCTCAGCTTGACTTACAAGACCATGCTTTTCTAAACAATTTGCTTTAGATGATTTTGTTACATAATAACCGGAGTTATGAATGAATGGAAGGAAAATAAGTTTCACGAATATAATTGGTATAATATGCCCTTACATAAAGTACTAAACCTACAATCGAAGGGAATTGGAATATTCTTTGACCTCTTTCAAGTGTAGGATACGTTGAAACCTTGTTTTTTTTCAAATTTGACTATTATTATGCATGTGCTGATATCGACTTTGTAGGTTATCAATCTAGGCAAAGTTTATTGGGATGTAAGCGGGTTATTGATTCACGTTTTTGCTTCTCCTTGGCTTGCACCTCTTTTTTTGTGTTTGACTTAGTTATGTATTAGTAGTAAAATAAACCTCATTAATAATTAGTAAGACATGTTGCTATAACCAATGCATACTATATATAGGTTTTTTCTGATTTTTAATTTTATTTTGAATGTGTAGGAAAATACGGATGATGCAATTGGAAATGGTGGCTACAAATCAATTTGACCTATTGACGCAAATGATAAAGATTTTTTGAACAATTGTGAAATTTATTGTTGAAAATACATTCGGTTTTGTAGAGTTCATTGCTAATGAACTTCTTGAAGTAGTAGTGCTTTATTAATATGGGTATAGTACTAGTATGGGTATAGTACTATGCAAATTATATTTTTTGTTGAAGTTTACTTCAAGTATATGCATTTGAATTATTTTTATTTTGTTACTTATTATTTAATTTGATGCTTGAGACCATAATGTATATACTTGAAATAAATGTGAATACATAGTTTAATGTAGGCAAAAATAATTTCTTAACAACACAATTGTGGCTAATATAAATATTTTAAAAATTATTTCATAGCATAGACAATTGCCATGCTTAGAAAATGTGGCCATAGGGACTGGAAATTTGACGCTATGCTTGATCACTGTTGCTTTAGAAGCCACGCTCTAAAAGCGTGGCCTATAACGCAGCAAAGACCACGCTTCAAAATTGTAGCTTTACGTCATAAAAGTGTGGCTATAGAGGAAATATAAGAAAGAATTACAGCCCATGTCACTTGGCCTAATAGCCCAACCGAAAATGGCCCACATTTGAAGCTCTTACCCTATTTAGCCCATGTTGTACATAACTTGAAAAAAACTTTTCAGCCTTTAGCCCACAATTAAAGACATACTTTTAGGGTTTTTATTATTTTCTTCTTTCTTCATTCCCTTCTCTCTCTCACCGCCTCTCACTTCTTTCTTTGTAACCCACATAGATCCTCATCCTCTCTTAACCTAGCCTCCTTTATTCCCCCTCCTCTACCCCCCACGCAGTTCTGCCATTAATGGCTCGAAGAAGGCTCGAAGAAAGACTCCGTCGTCCATGGTGGCAAGTAGAAGAATGAAGAAGATTTTTGAAAGAAACATGAAAATACACACAGATCTGAAAATAAATAACTCTCAAACTTGATTTGCACCAAAAAATAACCACTAATGTTGGAAGATTTTGAGGTTTGAAGTTCTGGTCATTATTATTATGACCTTCAAGTCTCGAATCTGAAATTGGGTTTGGATAAAAATCATAACTATGTAGCAGTTTGTATCAACATTGTATACTAGTGTATAATTGTGTATATGGATATACAAACACCTCTTATACACTATTATACATGTTTATACAAAGTTATACAGTATTGTATAATTGTGTATAAATGTGTATATTTGTGTATAATATTGTATAATTATATATTTTTTCAGTTTATAAGGATGTATATACATTGTTAGTGTGTAAGAGGCCTCTACAGAAGTTTGACACTTCCTTCTCTTATTCTTTTTCGTGTAATGTGTTGTATGAGCGTTGGAGGGATTCTACAATTCATTTACCAAGTTTTTATTTTTCTTTTATCCTGTTGGATTGCTTCAGCAATTGCACATAAAAGTGTTTGAATTTTCTTACCTTCAGATAATATGTATTATTCAGGATTTTTGAGTTGCGTTGTGGCTGATTTGTATTTTTTTATCAAATGCTTAATAATCAAAGGAAATCAGCAGAATGAAAACAACTGGTTGTATACAGAGGGAGCAAAATAAGTTGTCTTTCGGGAATTAGCCTATTATTTTTTGGGCTATAGATTTGCAAAGTGGTATCTAGGCTATTATGTTGCAAGTCAGGTGTGTGAGTTGCATTTATGTGAAATTATCCCGAAATATAAAGCGTAGCTTTTTTAGTGCATCGGCCACACTTTTGAAGCGTGGCTCCTATGGCAATACGTAAAAAGCGTGGCCATAAGTCAAAGGTTACAGTACTTTAGGCCACCCCTAAAAGCGTAGCCTAAAGTTGTAAAGTGTTGCCTTTGATCTAATACCACACTTCTTGGCATCTTAGTCCACGCTTTTCAGGGATGGCTGGAGGTCTTAAATATTGTAGTATCGTATATATATATAGGACTTTTCTTTTGAAATATGTTCTAATAAAATGACATGTTTATACATTTAAAAATTAACATAAACTTATTTTTACGCTTAATGACATATTCTTATGGCCATAAAAATATTATGATAAATTTAATACTACAAGATCCCATAATATATTTTAAATATGTGTCAAAAGTCGTATTTTCTTTTTTAATTTCACATCTCGTCAAACATACAATATACAACAAACAAGATTTGAACTAACAATGTCTATGAAGCCTCTACCAAAGAACTGACGAATTGTACAATTAGACAAAGAATTCCAGCTAATCCTACACACAAAAAAACAAATAAATAAATAAATAAATAAATGAAATGCAATCAAGTTTGTCCGTAGATCTTGTTTCAAAAATTTAAAATAAGAAGCAGATACATTCAAATATGTGTTTATTTATCAAAGTGGCTCATCATTTTCACTTCAACTTTTATATATCGAATCTCAAATTTAAAAAATATGTTTTAGGACGTTGCAATCACAAAATTCTAAGAATATTTTCATGTCCAAATACAACTTCAATTTCTACTTTTTCGATTAAACTTCAAATGCTATTTTTTTCTAATATCTACCAAATCATCTTCAAACGCCTAACGTAGTGAAAACTTCAAAGGGAATCTCCTTGTCCCTATCTCTCTCAATTAAATGATAAGTCTCTTCCCTCTTGATAGACAATGATGTTTATTGACTTTTGACACCACAAAAGAACCAGAGTCTCATGTCTTCACAACAATTCAGCTATATTTTTAATTTCTATCTTTTTACAAAGTCTTTTTTTTTTAGTTTCCCATTTGATGTCCAGTAACCGCATTAAAGTCCGATTACATTCAGATTCATTCCGCGCAGGACCGCATCTTCAGGGGGAACCGCTCCTTACCAAGAATTTTTTTATACCCAAATCTCGAACAAGAGAGCAGCCTCATCCGCTGCACCATATGATTAGTGGTGTTACAAAGTCTTCTATTACAAGAAATTTAGTACTATACCACCGTATCTCTAACTTTCTAAGAGACATGGCAGAAGAAGTGATCCTTTTAGATTACTGGCCTAGTCCGTTCGGAACAAGGGCACGAATCACACTTGCTGAAAAGGGAATCAGTTACACCCACAAATTCGAGGAATTGCCCAATAAAAGTCCTTTGCTTTTGAAAATAAACCCGGTTCATCATAAGGTGCCAGTTCTTGTTCATAATGGTAAACCGGTTTGTGAATCAGATATCATTATTCAGTATATTGATGAATTCTGGAATCAGAGTTTTCCCTTATTGCCCTCTGAACCTCACCAGAGAGCTAAGGCTAGGTTCTTGGTTGACTTCATCAACAAGAAGGTCAGAACTTCCTACAATTTAAATTTTACCCTTGTAAATTTTTTAGAGTTCTTTTATGTATATTTTGTATTTCCGTTGTCCCAATTTATATGATACTTTTCGCTTTTCGAGATTTAAACTTTTTAATATTGATCACATGCATTTGGAGATGGAATCTTTTAATTTTTCGAGATAAAATTTACATATTTGGAAACTATATAAAAAGTACTGTAAGTCACTATAATTAATAATTTAAAATATATAAAAGACATATAAAAAATTACAGTCAAAGAAGAATTCGTTTGACTCTCGAAATCCAAACAATTTTACATAAATTGGGACAGAGGAAATAATTCATAATATTAGATTTAGATGAACTTAAATAGAGCGATGGTCGGTAAAGATTTATATAGCTAGCTCCAGTGGCGGAGGTAAGATTTTCACTAAGGGGGTTCAAAAAAGAAAAAAGTTAAAAAACTAGAAGAGATTGTAGTAGCTAGTGAAAATTGAATCAATGACGTCACAAAGGGTTTGAACCCCCTTGACCACTGAGCTATGCTTTTGGGTTGTGGTCAAGGGGATTCAAAACATAATATATAGATAAAAAAAATAGATTTTGCCTTATATATTGAGAAAATCTCACTTTATACCCATTAATTCTAAACTATTTACCCTTTAATGCCCAGACCAAACTATTTACTACTCCTACCCATGGGGCCCAAACTATTTACCCGACACCTTCTAACTTCCAAGTTCCAACTGTATACTCTTGTACTAGTACAGGAGTATTACTTTTCATAAATATTCATCAAATACAAGAAGAATAAGCCTGATCTTTCGGAAACAAAGATAAGAGTCTCATCTTCGTCAACGAACTGGCCGTTAAAATTAACGGAGGAACCATCGGTAAGGCCGTGCTCAATGGGATATTGGGTACTATGGAGTGGAGAATCAAGGAAAGAAAAGGGAGATTTGAGGGAGAAGATATCGAAGCCGTAATTGGTTCTGCCAAAGGTGGAGAAGATAAATAGATAATAGAACCATGTAGTGACTCTGAATCCATAATGTTGTTGATTTGCTCTACAGCTGGGAAATGGTATCTGTTGTTAAAGAGAAATATGAGCTGCAATTGTAGTACTTGAGAAAGGCGACGGAGTGTAGGTGTAGACATGTGATTTTTGACCCTCCCCAAGATTTTTATATTTAGCATGTAAATATTTAATTTAGGCCTAATATAGCTATTTCAACTCATTTTGACTCTTTTACTTTATTTTATTACAAGAAAACTGAAAATTACAAAAAAATATTTTAGTTTATATATTTTTCATAAATTTGAAAAAAAATATACAAAAAAAATAGTACCTTATTTTTATCTTTATATAATTTTGAAAATACAAACATAGTCTAATGTTTAGTTTAGTTAATTAGGATTAATTTTGGCATGATGTAGTATTTCTATCTTGTTTTAAAGGCATTGTGTAGTCTAGGGGACCTTTCTAGACTTTTCTTTAGGACAAAAAATAAATAAAAAGACCCTAAGGACTTAACACAAAAGGACCTAGGGACTAATTGGCAAATACACAAAAAATGATAACCTAAACCTAGACTCTACATATACTAACGCCTACAATGAGCTGAAGATGGAGGAAGACCCTATGAGATCAGCGACAAGAACAAAAAAGAATAGAACCACACCCCATCGTCGATCTTCTTCTTCTGGAAAAACCAGCGAACCAAAGCCATAAAGACCCCACGATCTTCATCTTCTTCAACCTTGAGCATATAGCAGCAACCCTACCCCTAACCCAGCATAGTCCGAAACTTAAATGATGCTTTTTTGTACAAAAAGCACTTTTCTAATGTTTTTTAAAAAAAGTTACATTAATAGGTAATTCGCAGTATTATATTGCGAATTATCAAAAAAAATATTTTTTTTTATGCAATTCGCAGTATTATACTGAGAATTGCTTGAGATGGGCCCAGTTCATTTTTGAAATAGCGTTTCGCAGTATTATACTGCGAATTGCATTAGTTCGCAGTATGATACTACGAATTAGACTGATTTTACTGATTTTTGGGCCCCACCAATAATAATTAACTGACATAACAATAATTCAAATACATAAAACGCAGTATAATACTGCGAATTACTTTGAAAAATTCTACACCCCAAGCTCAGACTTGCCTTATTTATAGGCGTTTCAATTTTATAAAAATTCATCAATACTTAAACTTCAAACATACATTCATTATTCTCTCTTCTCCTTATCAATCATTTTTTTACAATGTCTGAAGTGCCAAAAATAAGGGTTTCACTGTATTGGGGGGGGGGGGGGTGAGGTTGTGGTGGAGAATAACTCTGTGAGGTATAGCTCACCTCCACAGTGTCATGTTAAATTGCCGCTTAATATGGAGTACGATACATTGGTATCGTTGTTACGTAAAAAAATGAGTGAGCGGAGGCGTTCGGTTAGCCTTAAAGTAACCGGTAGATTTTCTTATTCAGTGACTCCGCAGGGATTTGCTTATTATTCTGAGTTTAACATCGAGGATGATGAAACTCTTAGAGATTTTTTGCGGATTCTGGATGAATACAGGAAATTTATTGTAATAAAATTATTGGAAATGTACGCCAAGGCTTCCCAGTAATGAGGGCGTGCATAGCAGGGATAACCCCCAGTCATCGGGTGGTTATTCTGGAGCAGTTTTTGCCGGACAGATTGCTGATGAAAGAGCTTGCCTTGATTTAAACTTGTCACCACCGGCGAATGAGCAGCCACAAAATAATTTTTTCACTTTATATAATCAACAAGACGACTGGTAAACTTCAATTTTACTACGCTTTAGCGATGTTTTTTTTCCCATGTTTTAATTGAATTTGTATTAACACTCATATTTTTTATAGGGGGTACCGACCAGATTTGAATTTTATAAGTTATAACCCCGCCCCTAGTTGGAATATGCGTAGGTCTGGAGTATTGGACCACGGTGGTCCATCTGGGAGTCATCACCAACATGAAAATATCCATCATGAAACGTCAAGACAATACGATTTGTAAGTAAAGTGATATAGCTATATCTAAAGTATTTTTCCTGAGTATTGGGTAACTTATGTTTTTGTTCTTTTTGTGCAGTGAAAACGAGCTTCTTGAAGCTCCTGACCTCACACAGTTGCCCATAGACGACGTTTTTACTCGTGATTTGGCAGATGCGCAGAGTCAGGAGGATGATAGTGATTATGACAACAATGCGGATGAGTCTGGGGATGACACACCCTTCCATGATGAGGGTGATGATGAGGAGGAGGAATTGAATGTTGAACCTGAGCTGACCAGGGAGCATGTTCCTCCACCTCCCGCTAGACCAAGAGTGTACAAGTCCCACGTGCCATTTCATGAGCGAAATATTCCCTACCTTGATAATTTGCCAAGCATGCCTAACGTCGATGCCCTCACAAGGGATGATGATGAATTACGGTCAGCGATGTCGGATGAGTCCAGACCAGCTGTTCTTACAAAGGGCATGTATTTCCCCGATAAAGCTCGCCTAATTAGGGTTGTAAAAATCTACAGTATAAGAGAGTGTCGTGAGATGACAGTAAGTGAGTCAATTACGGAGAAATACAAGGCTATATGCCGTAGGTGGTTTATAGGTTGTCACTGGATGCTGCGTGCCACAAAGAAGAAATCAGGTTTGTGGAAAGTGGGTAAATTTATTAGCGAGCACAGATGTGAAATGGACACATTCAATGAGAATCACTTCAACTTGGATGTGGACTTGATTTCTCTTGTCTTGATTCCATATTTGGAAGTGTCTATTAGGTTCAAGTAAAGAGTGTATTACAGCCGTCCACCAGGAGTATGGTTGTACTATAACCAAAAGAAAGGCATATCTCGGTCGCAAACGTGCCTTTGAACTTATTTATGGCGACTGGGATAAGTCTTTTTCAAATCTGCCCAGGTACATGGCCGCACTACAACACTTTAACCCCGGTACTGTTGTTGAATGGAGGCGTGAGCAGAGTCCGGACAGACCGGAATATATTTTCAACTATGTGTTTTGGTCATTTAAACCAGCAATTGATGGTTTTGTGCATTGTCGTCCTGTAATTTCCATAGACGGTACTCATGTCTATGGAAAGTATGATATTAAGCTTTTGATTGCAGTTGCAGTAGATGCCAACGGACAAATATTTCCACTAGCTTTTGCCATTTGTGCCAACGAAAGTGAAGAGACGTGGACGCAGTTCTTGAACCACTTGAAGCAGCACGTTGTCAAACAGCGTTCAGGTATTTGTCTAATATCTGATCGGCATTGTGGTATTTTAAGTTCTGTACGTCACTTGCCTGAATGGCAGGAACCATATGCATACCACCGTTACTGTGTGAGGCACCTGAAGGCCAATTTCCAGAAGAAATTTCCTGACAAGGCCTTGCATGACTTAATGTGGATGGCTGCAACTGAGCACCAGCAGTGCAAATTCACGAGGCGCATGGAAGCGATCCGGCAGATAGAACCACGAGCCTATACTTGGTTGATGCAACATGAGCTTCACATGTGGACGTTGCATGCTGATGGCGGCAGACGATGGGGAGCCCTCACTACAAACGTGTCGGAGTCATTCAACGGCTTGTGAAGTCTGCCCGTGGCTGCCTGTCACTGCCATGGTCCGCATGACATTCAAAACGAGAGTGCA